TAACAGCCGTCAAAAGAATACTACGAGACTTAAGAGGGACGGAAGATTTGTGTCTGTTTTATCCAAAAAGTGATTCGTTTGACCTAAGAGGATATGCTGATGCTGATTATGCTGGAGATTTAGTAAACCGTAAAAGCACGTCAGGTATGGTCCAATTCTTAGGCTCTTGCATGGTTTCTTGGAGTTCCAAGAAACAAAACACTGTTGCTCTATCCACTGCCGAAGCAGAATATGTGGCTGATGCTACATGTTGCTCTCAATTGCTTTGGATAAAACAACAGTTGCGTGACTTTGGTATTGTTTTAGAGTACATTCCTATTCACTGTGATAATACAAGTGCCATTTGCATCTCTAAAGATCCAGTTCAACATTCTAAAGTCAAGCATATACATGTAAGACATCACTTCTTAAAAGATAACGTTGAAAAAGGCTTAATCAGGTAAGATTTTATCTCTACTGAATGTCAAATTACTGATATATTGACTAAGCCTTTAAGCAGAGACAAGTTCGAAAAGATGCGTGTGGAATTGGGGATGCTACGGCTCAAGTGATTATGTCTGGAACCCCTAAGGTAAAATTGAATGCAACTAACAATGCTATGCTCAATCTTGTGTGCATAACACAGTTCAAATTACCCAGGGGGAAGATTTGTGACAGTATTAAAAAGTCACTTGTGTATGTTGTTTATATGTTGAAAATTATGAGCCGTGTTGTTTCAAGTTCCCTTTTCCTATATAATCATAAACTTTGTATTCTGATTACGTAAATTATCATCATAATTTACGATTTATTTGTACATATCTTTTATTCCCTATTTTTCTTTTATTGCGGTAATTTCAAATTTTATTTGTTATTATCTTTTATTCCTTCCTTATTCTTATCTTTTATTTTCCTTCTTTAAACCTTTCCATTCTTCTTAAAATTCAAAAGTACAAAAAAAATTTCAACCTAAGATAAGGAGCTTGTATACCCACTACTCCTTAACTTCCGAATTTTTATCTTTAAAATTTAATCTTTTATTTTGTTAAGTTTGAATATCGCAATCATCACTTACATTAAACCCATCCAATTTTCAAACCCCTAAACCGTCACTCACCCTATTAAATTCCATTACCTCTAAAATTACAACCCACTAACTCACCTCATTAAACCGTCACCCATTACTTCTCACACTTCTCTATTCTTACTCTTCCACTTTCACACTCCACCCTCAACAATCACATCAATTTAATTTCCCCAAATCCTGAACATAACCAGCATTACTCTCTCTCCTCTCTCTCTAAACTATTCATCTTCCCTTTCCTTTCTACTCAACACCATAACCATGAATACCAACCTCAACACCAAACCGAAACCACCAAAAACACGGTCTCCACCATCTAAACCTAGCTCAATCCACTGACGGCTCACCAGAACCTGTCCCGATAGCCGTAGTCCACCCTCCAGCACCACCGAAGCAAAAGGCTGCAACCGTAAGAGGCGACAACAGGAAGCGGCACAATGTACCTCAATTTCCAAAGTGGAACTACACCCTTGGTTACCACATCAATTACGATTGGTGTGTGTCAAGTAAGTTTTCGGAATTCACCTCCTTAATTGAATATCAAAGTTGGATTTACTTGTTCCAAGATTGTACTCATCTTCCTGTTTTTCCGAAGCTCATATTTGAATTCAAAAATACATTTAAGTGTGACAATGGTGTGTGCACAGCCGTGGTTAAAGATACTCCTATTGAATTTGATGTTGCATACCTAGGAAATTTGTTTCAAGTTCCCACTAATGGCTATTGCTCTTATCTTAAACATAAACAAACTAATATTATAGGCCATTATGATGAAACAAAAATTCTTCGATTTATCGGAGGAAATCCAAAAGTAAAGACCACACATCATCATGCTCTCTCACCACTTCACAAATTGTTATTTACCTTCACATGGAGAGGGGTTGTACCACGATTACAAAAGCGTAGTACAATGTCTCTTCTAGATGCAACAATTATTTTCTGTCTTGCCCGAAAAATCCAAATAAACTTTCCAGCTTTAATGATTGAACGTCTAAACTTTTATGCTACAAAGACCACCATACCGTATGGTTCTCTTCTCACTATGATATTTAAATCCTTTGGTATTGATGTGGACAGTGAATCCCCCACTTATCTTAAGCCAGAGAATATCCTATCTGAACAATCTTTACTTCGCTTGAGTCTTAAACTTGAGAGTGGGAAAATCTCTTTCGTGTCTCGAGGGGGAGAGGAGAAAAATAAAGGGAAGGGAAAATCACCGGTCGAAGAGGGTGATGAGAGTGATTCAGAGGGCAGTGACCAATATGAAGAGGGAGATGAATCAGCTAGTGAGGGAAATGAGAAAGAAAACAGTGAGTTTGAAAAGAAAACATTCGAGGGAGACAATGAAGAGGAAGATTTTCTGAGGGGGAAGCACAGGGAGTAGAAACTGAAACCAGGGAAGACACTGAAGGAGGGGAGAAATCACAGAGTGAGGGGGAACCTAGTACAGAAATTGAGAGTACAGAAGGAACTCCTGTTATTCCTGTGTTTAAAGGGGGACTTAGAAGGAGTAGGAGAACTTTTGTCAAGACATCCTTCCCTGCTACACATCCTGTGACTGTAGAAGACATAAGTTCTTCTGATCACTCGGATCCTGACTTCACTCCTACCCAAGTTCCCTTTGAATCTACACCTTCATCTATTCCTGATCCACCTCCAAAACAGCCTTCTCCTACCCAACCTCCTCTTCAATCCCAGCTTACTGGCTTTGCTGCCTTTTCTGGAACAAGTGCTTCTATTTTTGATATTCAACAGGTGAAAACAGATATGGAGAAGCTGACAAAGATGGTGAGCACAAAACTAGAGGACATGGTGAAACAGCTGACTACTCTTCAGCGCCAACTGCAGGCTATGGCAGAAACCCGGGCAACTAGTATTACTGGGATTGAAGAAAGAGTCGCTGCTGCTGAGAAGACAATCATGGGGAGCACTCAGGAGATCTTGGAGACGATCAACAGGGTGGCCTTTAAGGAAGTAGAGGAAGATTCCAATGATCCTACCAACCCATTCAATGACCCTACCAACCCATCCGATGAACCAACCTATTCACCGTGATTGCAGTTTCAAACTTGACACTTTGAATTTCTTTTGGTTTTGTTTGTTTTATTTTGTTTCGGTCTGTAATTTCTGACTTTTGCTACTCTTATTTCGCTTTCCTTAGTTTATTTTTCATGCATATAATAAAGTTGTTTTAGTCTTGAATAAAATATTAAAGAACTTAATTAGCTTGTTGTTTTTAATTAGCTTGCTATTTCTAATTTCACATGTTTTCATGCCTGGACGATTTTTATTTACCTACGTTTGTCAGTGTTTGTCATCATCAAAAAGGGGGAATTTTGTTGACCCTTTTGGTTTTGATGGACAAACTGACAAACTTGACTAACGAGAGTTTTTGAGTCTTTGGTGAATAAAGGGTTCAAGCACAGTTCGTTCCGAAGTACCCTACTTGATACAAAGGATGCAGAGTAGCATCAAAAGGCCTCATGCAAAATCTTACGATCTAGTGTTAAAATGTAAACACTCAAAATATAAGTTAGTAAGGAACTCGATGACTTACGTTATAAATAATTCTACTGGAATAATATTGTTTTAAAGACTTATAGACTTATATTTTGAAAAGATATTTTAAATTTAATATTATTTAAATAAGTATTTCGAATAATGATAATTAACCTTAGTTGATTATCTTAATTTTTTAAATTAAATAAATATTTTTAATATCTTTTCAGAATAAAATATTTTTAAAGAAAATATTTTTATCAGATAAATTTGAAGGAGTCAAATAACTGTTTTTATAATTGCTTGATTATCTCTAGGCAACGGTTTTGTGAAGCATTATTTTAGCAAAACAGTTATTTACGTGGATTAAGGAGAAGTTTGAGAAACTTCCGCTACCTTGATCATTATCACGATTCTCCACTACTTGTTAGTGGGTATTGACTGTGTTAGTGGTTAATGTGGGAGTTGAGGATCAAATTTCTCTATATAAACCACGAAGCTATTCATAGCAAAATACACCTCTTGAGCTTATATATTCCAGTATACCAAATAACGTAAAGAGAGTTCTTATCTTTTCTTATATTCTTGAGTGTACTAGGTATTTGTAATTACAATTTGTAATCAAGTACTTGGGGTTTAGGATTGTGAGTTTTGTAACGGTGAGGTTAAAGAAAATTCATAGTCGAAGTCTTCTGTGAGAGTTAGGAACAAGTTCCAATCTTGTGGAACTTGTTACGGGTTTTATTCTTCACTTGTAAAAGAGTTTATTTACAAAAACATACATCATCTCTCTTTACTGTTTCACTTAGTTAAATCCCGCAAAAAGTTGTAAACCTCACCTATTCTACAATTCACCCCCCTCTTGTAGAAGCCAGTAAGACTTTCAGTAACAATATTAAAATATACTCCGTAATAAGATTAAATGGGACAATTCATAATAATCTACTCCGTAGCTTAAAAGTGGCCTAATAATCAATAGATGCATTGAATATGGAGTATTTTGCTTCCTCCTCGATTAAATCGGCGTTATACTACAGTACATAAGTATAACACTATAACTTCAGTGAGTTATATACTTATATATTCTGACTTCTATAAATAATATAAAATCAAATTTGATTAAAATATCTTGTCAAAAAAAAAAAATGATTAAAATAAGTCCATATATATACGAAGTATAGTTGAAGCAAAATATGGTAAGATAATAAGATAAGAAAAGTACTAAAATTATGCAAATAAGTTCTAAAACACTCACAAATTAAAAGAATGAAAACAAGTTTGAATAGATCAAAGAATTTCAAATAGCTTCATACATATATATTCCAATAATATAATTAACTTTAAACAAAATATGTTTATTTATATACACGTAGAATAAAACAGATCAGAGTCAAAAGTAGACGCATATAATTGATGACATAGAGGAAATAAAAGATACCTGAACCATTCTCAACAATGGCTTCTTCATCATCGTATTTGTTGCTTGCCATTTTAGCAGGACACTTAATTAAAAAGTAGAATATCAGATCATCAATGTTTTAACTCTCCTATCTTTGCACCTCATCCACTTCACCACTCCACTATATATATAGAGAAATCTCAAAAAAGAAAAAAGAAAAAATAATATTAAAAATATTTTGCCTTTGATACCTTCCGTAATTAAAGTGAAAGATCATTTAGTAAACTTAAAACCCTTCATCTAAACAATAAATAAATAAATAAGAATTTAAAAAAATAATAAAGGCATGATGGACCCACGATGATGCTTAAGAACCAAATGAAATAAATGTCAGACCAACACTAAACTTTACTTCTAAAGTTCTAACCAGAAATGGATAAGGATAATTGTTAGGAAAAAAGAAAGTCATAATTAGGAAGTTTGAAATTAGAAATGAATAAGGATGATAGTTAGGAAAAAAGAAAGTTGTAATTAGGAAGTTTGAAGCTTTTAGGTTCTACAAAATCCATTACATGACTTTATAAAGGTCATCTACTATTTGAAACTTCTTAGGTCCCCGAGGTTAATTTAATTTAGTAGTTATCTTCTATTATAAAATACGAACGATAAGTAATTACTTGTCAATAAACAGAATTATTAAATAAAATATCTTTGTAGGGCTTGTTATTAGAGGTTTAATCATCAGGCAGAATATATTATAAGTAATTACTCGTAAATAAACAAATTTGATTTCTAGGGTTTGTTATTTGAAGTGACTTGTTTGATTGGAAATTGCCAATTAGAAAATAGGGATAGTAATCACTCATAAATAAATAACAAATTGATCATTAATGCTAATTATTATTAGAAAATACTTTGAAATAATGTGAGGTTGATTTTACCTGAAATATTAGTCTTGTTTGTCATTTAAGTGAATATGTTAAAACTTGCAAATATTGTAGGATTACATGTATCATCCAAAAATTTGTATAATATAATGACGTTGTTTTAAACAAGTTTAAATTCTTTTAAGAACTCTAATTTTTTGAAATATGTTGCGTTAGATATTAAAGACAGGGTTCCTTGTTACATTTAAGTAATTCATAATTCTAGCTTATTACTTTTATAGGAATCACTCGAAGTTTTAGTCCTTTGCGTGGGAATCAATACACAATGTTTATCTTCTGCGAGACTGTGTTGTGATTATTGGCTGTTGTCGAATCAAATGAATCCTTTACTCGTCGTAAATAAAATAAGGGATCAAAAGCGTCTTATTACTAAAGTAAGGGTTTTTTCTTTATCGTCAAGTGATTTAACAAATTTTTTACTTTGCGCACGAATCAATTTGAAACTTTTTTATTTAGTTAGTGTTTGAATGTGATTATGCTCGTAATGTTCTAAAAATATAAATCTAACTTATCAGTGTAAGTAACCCTAAAAAAGTAAAATTTAAAAGTAAAAGGACATGATAGGAAAAAGTAATAAAGACAAAAGACTTCTTTGTTAATTAAAAAAAGGGGTGAAAAGGATAGTGTAAGTTACTATTGATGAACAATGTGTCATCTTCATCTCTAAAATATTAGTTTGATTAAAACCTAAATAGAAGTTAGGAAATTTCAATACATTGCAAAGTATAATTCCTCTGGTTATTTTTACTCTTAACGGTTTTTGTTTTCACGTTTAATTTGTCAATTGCGTGCATGAATTATTGGTATTCATTTAGAATTACCACCTCTAACGGGTATGGTGTAGTTTAGTTGGGTAAAAAAAAAAAAAAAAAAAAAAAAAAAAAAAACTAGCACATGCAATAATTAATATGTTTGAACTTTATTTATAATTCCTTTGTTTTCATAAGATTTACTCAATTGCATTTTACACAATCTCTAATAAACTACTTTGACCCTTTTTTTTTTTTTTTTTTACTTATACACAATTAAAGATATTAATGGTCAACTACTTTGACCATTTGTATATTAGTAAAATTATACAAAGTTGATATATTAAAAATTCATACCAATACAAATCTAACAAGATCAATCTTGATAATGCTTTTTTTCTTGTATATACACAGTTAAACATGGATAAACTTTATAATTTGACCTTGTAAATAGTAATTAATTAACACCATTTATCCTTAAAAGTTATCGGTTACATAAAATATTATTAATTATAATTATTATGGAGTAGAAGTTTTTCCATCAAAATTAAGTCCCATTTCATACCTAAAAAAATTAATTTTTTCATTTTTTCTTATGTATTTAGTATTTATCCTCAAATCAGCGCAACCAAACTCCACCATCTTAAATAATTTTCCTTATTTACTTTTATAAAAGACATGCAACCCCGATATCTCCTTTCTTCTTTGTGTGTGTGTGTGTGTGTGGCCGTGTGGGGAGAGGAGGGGGGCTTGTAACTCACTAATGTCTACATACTAGAGGTAGCTTGAATTTGGCTAAAGTAGTGGTAATAATTGAATCTCTAATAGATAAGTTCTTTACTTGATGCTATTATAAGTGGACAAGCTCTTTGCTAATTCATCTCTTCTTTTACTGTATAAACACTATACGTATTACCAAATTAAAGTATTATCAATCATAATAGCAATGGTCACTCAAAAAAAAAAAAAGGAAAAAAAAAGACAATATACGTATTACCAAAATAATTAAAGTGTTATCAAAATAATTATAGCATGGACCACTTATAACAAGTATAGTAAAAGATTTCCCATATTAGATTAATTCTATTCTTTTCCTCCTTTGCCAGTTTTCCCCTTGAAAAAAATAAACATTATTAGCTCTTTTACTTGTTATCCACTTCTTTTTCTCGCTTATATATAGTTTCTCTTTTTTTGTCATTTGATATCATCTAAACTACAAGGTTAAAAAAAAACGAGAGTGAAAAACAAAAGATTGAGACTAATGGTGAGGAAAAGAGAGGTAGCATTGCCTTCTTCGCAACCTATCGACCACCCGTGCCACTCGACATTTACTCCACCGTATATTCACCTACGCCTAAAGACGAGGCGCTCATGACCGACGGTAAGTCCTACAACTACAATGGTCAAGTCATCCCTCCGTCGGCTCTTAAGACTATTCTCAAGCGTCCAAAGTTGGCTTCCTACGGCACTGAGGAAGATGTCGATTCAGGTCAACTCTCCGGCCTTATCTTCGTTTCGGAACGAACGAACAGCCTAGAGACGCTTCACATTGCTCTCTTCTTCCAAGGTAAGTCACCCGAAGTGTTTTGATTCGCTGACGTTTATGACACTTTTAAGGGTGTTCGCATGGAAGATAGTGGATGTATTGCTGGTGACTACCTCGTCTATGTGTCGACTATGGAGGCTGCCCCCGAGCCTCATCAGCCTTGGACTGCTGTCTATAAAACCAATCTCATTACCGGTGAAACTGAACGCCTTACTCTACCAGGTACGCAGCGTATATATAACTCTACCAAGACTCATATTTTCATTATCGTTGAAATCCAACGATTTCTCACACTTTCAATACATTAACCTGCGTTTCATGTTAGTTAACACATTTTATTATGCATGTTTGCTAACATGTACTTTAATATTTAAATGTCATCAATTGTTTTGATATACAGAAAATAAACTTTAAAACGAATCTAACAAGATCCCAAATGATTACTATGTTTTTTTATGAAGAATAAGTCACAAAAAATTATAAGTAACTTAAATGAATGGTACGGTGTCCAAAATCAAAATGGGTCAACTAAAAAGAAACAAAAAAGGTATAATGCTATGTTTCTTCCCTCTTCATAATAATGTGATAGGGAAAAAAAAAATTGTCACATCGTGTAATGAACCATGTATAAATATTCATTTGAATAATAATGTATCATTTATATTTTACCTCCTTCGTCCCTTTATTGTTGCCTTATTATCCTTTTATTGGGTCAAACTTTGAAAACTTTGATCAAAGATTATCGTGAATTTATCAAAGATAATGTAGTCCCATAAGATCTTGTTAGATTTGTCTTATTGTATATTTTATTGATATCACATTTTTATAATTTTTATGTTTATGAAAATGAAGATATATACGTTTTAAGAGGTGTCTTGGAGACTGTGAAAAGTCAAATGGGGTAGAATAATAGGAATAGAGGGAGTACTTCTATAGTTTCTTATGTGTGCATTGTGTGTGTGAGTGTGTGTGTGTAGACGTGTAGGACCTTGACTTCCAATGACCAAAGTTGGACAAAAATTTTGGGGGTCCAAGCTTTGATCTTTCAACCTCTTGATCAAATTTTTTTTAGTTATTCGTTAGTTCATACATATTGCACCCATGCATGCATGCATGTTCATTTCATGATCATCTTCTCAATTATAATCTTGAATCAACAGGAAAAGCCGATTTGAGTCCCTCGGTGTCACCCGATGGAAAGAGAATTGCTGTGGCATCTTTCCAAAGGAAAGCTGGATGGGATGGCGAAGTCGAGGATCTAAAGACTAGCATCTTTGTCATGAACGTAGAGCGACCCTTAAACCGTAAGTTGGTTGTCGTAGATGGAGGTTGGCCAACTTGGGGAAGTGACAATGTCCTATTTTTCCATCGCAACATCGAAAAGGTAAAAATGCGAAAACGTTGGGGGGTGTTTCGAGTAGACCTTCGTCTGAGTCCTACATCCGTGACTCGCGTGACCCCGGAGGAGATCAGTGCTATGACTCCAGCTGCCATCGACGAAACCAAAGTTGTAGTCGCCACTATTCGTAAACCATTCACGTTTGATGAGGATGAACGTGAAGAAGACCAGTATCGGCACATTGAGATCTTCGATTTAACCAAACCAAAAGACGAGTCCGTTAAAATCACTCAAGTAACAAGACCTAAGGCTGATCATTTCAACCCCTTTGTTATTGAGGATAACAATGGTGGGAAGCGTATTGGTTATCATCGTTGCAACAGTGATAAGGTTAACACGGTACGTTCTAGCCAATGTCCCTTTGTTATCCTAGCTTAAAACTATATACATGATAATTAAAGTGTTCCTTACAAAAATTAGTGCTAATCTAAACTTGTGAATAATCCTTTTGATCGAAGTTACAGATGAGCTACTAGTTAGGTGGTGTAGTCTCTAAAACCATGACCTAACACTGCACAACAAACTGCGATAAGCATATACTTCTGGCCTCTGTGTTTTAGATGATATGCTTCTAGCACTTCATTTTCCACATGTATTGTGTTGATGCATAACCTTAACCATTAAAATATTAGTATTCAAAAATTAAAATTTTTATAAATTTGACATTTAGTACAAGATTATAGACAAATATATGATTGTATCATTACTTATGTATTTACTTCATTATTCTATTATAACTGAACCGGTCAAATTTGCGCCCTTAACAATTAAATATAATGCACTAGTTTGATTATAATATAAAGAATTAAATATGTAATAATATAATTTTTAAGAAATAAATGATATTATGAAACTCATATTGGTATTTCTTTCTTTTTTGCGTTTAAGGGCTTGCTTACTCAAATATCAAATAAGATCATAACTACAACAATATCTACTTATCAACATTATATTACATAATAATAATAATAATTTTTTTTTGTAATAATAAAACTAAAATCAAAATAATATATAAATAGTGAAAAAATGCCAGAGTGTCAATTATTATAAAATGGAGGAAACATATATAAAATATAAATCATACTCCAAATAAATATGTGTGAATAGTTTAAAAAAAAAAAAAAAGTATTCCATCCGAAAAAAGGTGGAAGTATTATTATGTAAACCATTTAGAAAAGGGTTATGAATAACCACTATTATCTATTTATGATGACATGACAGTATAATGTGGTTGAGAAAGATTTCTACAAGCTACAATCTCCGGATCCCGATGTCGGAATATTCAGGGTTTCAGGCGTGTTTCCAACAATTTCAGAATGTGGTAGAAAGCTTGCTTTTGTTGACAATGAGTTCAAGGCCGTTTGGGTTGCCGACAGTAGCGGATTGCATATGGTTTACGAGGTACTTCCTCCGTCCTCAAATAAAACATTTAAAACTACTTCTTATATATACCCATTTTTTGAATTTGAATAAAAACTACTATATATAGTGAAGGTATGACTTAGATAATAATAATAATAATAATATTAGAGTAATTTTTCCAACTAGAGTAAATTCATCATAGGATTAATAGAATAGACTGTACAGGGTCAAAGCTAAACTTGATTGAGAAGGGGGCCGGTCTAAGAAGCGTGATTAAGGAGGGGGACTTGTCTAATATGCATCCATTCTACTTCAATAAGTGCGAGTAGGGCTAAGCACTAGTAAGGCAAAACATAAGGGCCGTGGCCCTCTAAGGCCTCAACTAAGCTTCGCCCAGGAGATTAGTTATTTTTATATGTGAATTTTATTACTTAATGTTTTTATCATGAGATTTAAATTTTTAGTATAAAACCAATGTATAATACAGTATATATAGATTAATGCGTACTTTTATTATAGTAAAACTATTGAGTATGTTAAACTGACAAATAATATTGTATATACATATGCTAGACAAATGCCTCGAACAGCTTATTTTCGCCGGTATGGAACACAAAAAAGGATACATTATATGTATGCGAAGGACCTTCTTTCAATACAAAACAACCAGTTCAAATAGTGGCAATTTTCAATGTGTTGAGCTCCAATCGGACTTTCAAATTTTTGACTAATCAAGATCACAATAGTGCTTTCCCCTCTATAATGCTAATGGTAAATACTACATACTCCCTCCGTCTTTTATATTTTATCTATTTAATTCAAAACCCTCATAAAAAATGGTCAACTAATAGATAGCACGCACATATAGAGACAAAGTGAGTAGCTAGCTCTAATCGAAGCAAGCTATCCTAAATAACAACGATAATCTAATGGATAAATTAGAATCAATAAAAGGAAGAACTAACTTATTACAAGAATTAATTGTGTTACAATTATTGATTAGGGACGAGGCTAGTTTATCGATCTACAAAAGATGGGCCGAAGAATCAGTACATAATGGAGAACGCGGAGCTAGGAGAATTTGATGGAGGCAAGGTAACAAGACTAACTGAAGGAAATTGGACAGACACACATTGTCATTGGTCTCCTAAGGGAGATTGGATAGCATTCTCGTCAAATCGTGCCAATCCTACTGCAAAAGGATATGAAGACCTACCAGATCCAGGATACTTTGGAGTGTACCTAGTGAAGGCCGATGACAAAAATGTTGTGGTTAAAGTCATAGACAGTGGATATACTTACTTTGGAGGATTATTTCCGGGACACGTGAACCATCCAATTTTTAGCCCTGATGGAAAGAGCCTCGTTATAACTGATGATTTCGCTGCAGTGTCATGTGATCCTATATCGATGCCTATCTTTGTTCACTCGGTAAGGCCTTATGGTGATATATTTGTTGTTGACCTCGATCTTGATGACATATACAAGAACGAGAATTTGAACAAGTTTACTCGTCTTACACATAGTAAGTACGAGAATGCAACTGCTACTTGGACCATGGCCTCGGCTAAGGACTTGCACGCAAAATGAAACGTACGAATAGCTGGTAATGACAATGCTAAGGGGTTTGTACCAGAATGCCCATATGTGCATCAAAGTGGAGCCGAAAGTGTTCACATGACTGGCCACCTTTGCATTACAGGTGATCGTTGCTGCTAAATTCACTCTGGGACGATGTAGTGCAAGTTGAAACTTCTCTTCTGACTGTCTTCAATACAGTTATAATAGGACCTGATGATGTAACATATATATGGATTGCAAGGTATTATATGTGTGCGCGATGATATATCAGTAATGGATGTAATCCCTAAATAAAACTTTGAGATATGAATGCTTGCTTTGGTTTGATTAGATTGCATTCAAGTGGTGCACGTCTTGGTGGTGAGAAATGTGGTGCATCAATGCTGTGTTCGTGTCTAAAGTATAAATAAAGTGTTCATTCCTTTGTGAACATTATGTATACTTGTATTTATATATATGTATGCTCTTATATTTCCTTGTACTAGTACTTTATATGCAATAAAATAAAACTTGTTTTTATTTAGATATTCCTTTGACTTTTGCACTATTTACAAACTACTCAATTAATTGAAAATTCTGATGTAGTCTTATGACTTTTGACTACCACAATTTTTTAATAATGGACGGCTGATATTATTTGTTTTTTGATTTATTTTTAATTAGTAATATCAATTAAAAATCACTTTTTAATTATTTTATATATATATATTTTTTATTTTCATATCAGAATTTCAAAAATATTAAAAATAATTTCTTAAAGATAAACATATTTTTAAAATAATTAAAAAATTATTTTTACTTAAAATTACTAATTAAAAATAAATCAAAAAATAAATAATCTCAGCCGTCCATTTTTAAAAATTGTGGTAGCCAAAAGTTATAAGAGTACATTAGATTCATCATTAATTAGCTTTTTTGGTTTATAACTAGCTACAACAAAATAGATTCATGTGGGGTCTTGTTTGAATCGTCTCAATGATTAGTATCTACAATATATAATTCTACAACTTATAATTTTACAATGTTAATAATTAGGGATATTAATTGTTAAAATTATCATTGATAAACAATATAACTACGGCTTTTTTTTGTTTTTTTTTTTGTTTTTTTTTTTATTAACTATGGAGTAATCAACCATGAAGCTCAAGATCAAAGTTACACATGGTATCCATGAGCCAAACATTCACAAGATTAGATATGTGTTATGAAATTAATGAGGATTGATTAATTTAGGTAATGTGTTTGATATGCCTAAATTTGATAAAACATAAATTTGATAAACAAAGTAGAAAATAGATGAGATGAACACATAGATACACATGGTTTATTTTCGATTAACATGACCTGCGTTAACAGAGTAATTAGGGATTGTACTTTCTTATTAGCTTTCATGGAGGATAAAACAAGAGATGTGAAAAAGGATGATACAATTAAATTGTACCTTGGGCCCCAATGTAGGTTCACTGGCCAAATACAACGCTCTCTATCTTATGTAATATCTCAAGTGGAGCTACATATTGGTTTGAATTGGATAGGCTAATTAATATAAGCACTAATAATTGTCCATCTAACGGTTCCTTATATAACATTAAAAAAAAAAAAAATTAAACCCTATTTTATTCCCCAAGAAATAACAATAGTAGCCGTCGTAAGCATACCCGAAATTAGGAAACAAAAATGCTTTCATTCAACTATGCCAGATGTGTTGTATATATATGGCATGAACGTGCTGCTTCAGCACTCGCCAAAAAGTTTCTAGCTAGCTAGCTTCAACAGTTCTTTGTAAAACGGCCAAAATTTTCTCGTGTTTTTATTAGAATTGGGCATGTGATCATTGCTCTTGAAACAAGCTATCACCTCCAATCAACTTGAATCACCACCAGATCACTTCTGGATGAGAGACATGTGCATTTGAAGTCAACCTTTGCCCTTTCACAAGATTTCAAGTCATAAATAACAATACAAGTACAAGTGAAACTAGAACAAGTAATTGAAGCTCGAGTATTTCTTATCAAAGTTAATTTTAATCGGTTAACTATGCTTGAGACCTCATGTTTGTAAACAATAATCAGTATGAACTTAGTTTTGAGAAGTTAACTTCGCTTGAGACTTCATGTTTGAAATTAGTAATCAGTATCAGTTTGAACTTTAGTTATTACAATGTTTTTTGTTAAATCATGTAAACGGTCTGTCATTAATTCATATAAAAAAAATTGAGATTGTGAGCTACATGCACATGCATATCTATTAATAGCTACATTTGAATTGGATTTACCATTAACTCATAGCCAATAGGCACTTGACATAGACTTTGAAGTCAACATTAAAAAATTACAAATGCTCAAATTGGTAACTTATGCAGTCATTTTACGCATTAATTAATAGATGAAGCATAAATCATAAATATTATATCATATATTTTAGTCATGCATTAAAAGACTAAAATAGTCTACGGAGTATTAATTGATAATTGTAAAAAAAATAAGGTAACGATGCTAAAAGATGCACATGGTTGCACATTTCAACCATTTATAGCACTTAATTTCCCAAAGCAATGGCATATTAAAATAATGAAATAATTCTTATCTAGGTTCCAATATAAATATAGAGATGTCTGGTTGTTCTACATTGCTCACATCCGATCCCATAGTACAAGTAAACTTTCATGGATTTCTCTATGACAAAACCTTCTCTTCCCACCATTTTTCTCATTATATTCTTAGTTTATTTCAGTATATTATGTCCTCATTATGTAGAATCTTGCAACACTGTAGATAAAGAAGCAATGCTCGAGTTCATCAAACGTGGAATCAAAGAGGATCCCGGTCAATATCTAGATACATGGGTCTCTAAGACCGATGGTTGTGTATGGTGGCTTGGTGTAAAATGTGATCCTTCTACCGGAAGGCCGGGTAGTTGAGCTTGTTTAGGTGCCCTTTTTGGTACACGGGTTATTCATGGATCCATATTAGGTCAAATTTCACCGTACATAGGTAATCTTACCTCCCTTCAAGTCCTTGGTCTTAGTAACTTCGAAGATTTATATGGTTCAATCCCTCCTGAACTAGGAAAGTACGTTGTCAAAATTAACCCATTTAGACCTAATAAGCAATAATCGTCTTAATGGTTCAATACCCGCGTCCCTTGGTAACCTTCATAAGCTACAAGAAATCAATCTTAGCATAAATCTCCTCTCTGGCTCCATACCCCTACAATGTTTTTCGATCTTTAAAGTCACTTTTGAGACTAAATTTGCAGGTGAATAAAATCACAGGCCCAATTCCATCTTCCATTGCTAATCTTATCTCACTTAATTAAAGAGCTTTATCTCCCAAAAAATGCTAGTGAATTGACTGATATTATACTATCGAAGAATAGGTTGACGGGAAGTATTCCAAAGAAGGCGTTGAATTTAGAAAGGCTATTTGATTTTGATGTTTCAAGAAATCAACATTGTGGAAGAATTCCAACCCACACGTTAATTATTCCTGCCTCCTTGTAAGCGTTTGTAACATGGCCGTAGCTTAGGGTGTGCACAGGCACAGGGCCCCAAAAATAAAGGCCCAAATTTTTAATGGCCTATTTCTGATATTATTATTGACATAAAACTGGATAATCATCCTCATAATTAATACTTGTACTTTCTCTCTCTTAAATTTAATTACCTTGAATTGGCTTCTTAAAAGACGCTTAACTATTGCTTTAATTTCGATTCTAACGCCATGGTCACCTTCAATCTCTCCCAATTCACCACTCCATATTAAACCAAAATTTTATCAATCAATTCCATAATTTTTCCTCTTTCCATGAGACTTCAATTACAAATGGGAATTCAAAACGTTTTTCCCATATATAGACTGATCTACCTTAGCAACGGAGTGAATAAATAATTTTTAATATTTCTAGATTTTTTTTTGACAACGGTTGAATTTTTTTCATTTTCGTATCTTTCGAAAATTTGATAGTCTTCGTCAAAATTACATCAGTATGGTTCAATGGTTGTAAATTTGTAAGTCTCTGTCTTTCACTCTTTTTCTATATTTTGGGACAAAGTTTGATAATTTGATTAATTTGGTCAATTAGTGAACTAAGCCTATTAGGTGATTGGTATAATTTATTTATTGCTACAATGCTAGTATACTACTGCAGTTTGCGGACATCTAACCTATTGTTAGGTTTTTTTTTTTAATGCTTTATTAAGGTTGAATTAAGAAAGGAATGGTGAAGCTTTGAGGATGATATGGCCAATTTCGAATTATTGATATGCAAATGTATTTTTATTTTAATCAAAGTTGCATTGAGTTACTACTATTATGCAAGGAATAAAAAAACTGATTTTTGTGCTTATCGAAATTTTAAATCTTAAGACTATAAAAATATAAGTTAGTATAAATTATACTGACTACAAATTATACGAAGTAGTATATAGGGCCCAAAATTAAATTTTGGAACAGGGTCCCAAAATCTCCAAGACGGCCCTGGTTTGTAATATGCTCCCTCCTTGCATGAGTAATTTTTTATTATATGTACTCACTAAGAATTGAATAATGGTGGTCATAGTATGAAATATTATACAATAATCTATTTGTATTTATCATAAAATATTATTATATTCCAATATAATAATGTTCGTATTTTTTTTTCTTTCTAAATTACTAATCTGCTCTAATTAATTTATTTGCAACAAATTGTTTTGAGTTTGCCGAAATTTCAAATCTTTCAGAGGTTCGGCTTGCTTCTCTCATTTGAAAATCGCAAAAAATTTATAATATGAATGTATAAATTAAAATGAATATAACAAGATCTCACTTACATATTGTTTTTGTCGACATACCATTTATTAGCGATGATCAAACAAAATTATGTAGTGACAAATGTTAAATTGTTTTGAGTAAGATGAAACAAAGGAAGTATACTTTGAATAAAATCCATTATTATACTTATAAGTGGTAAAAAAAAAAACCAATTAATTCAACACATACCCTAATAGGTAGATACATTTGATACCCATTCTTTAATTGAAAATATACTCCCTTTGTCTCATAATGTAATATGTTGTTTGTTTGTATTTATTTTTTTCACTGCTGTTAAGAGTAGTAGAGGGATGTACGTGTAATATGTTAAAAAGTGCTCTGTCAATACGGAGTTTTTTTTTTTTTTTTTAATAGAATAATTACAGAGTATTTAGTTTTTATATATATACTCCCTCTGTCCCTTATTTTTTGCCCCATTTGACTTTTCACGGTCTCCAAAATGCATCTTCAAACGTATATATCTCCATTTTTATACGCGAAAAAATTATTAGAATTTGATATTAATAAACTATACAATGAGACGATTCTAACAAGATCCCACATTAATATATTATCACGTATAGATTAACGAGAATTCATAGTCAAAGTTTTAAAAGTTTGACCATATTTTTACAATGGGGCAAAAAATAAGGGATGGAGGGAGTACTTAATACTTATTAGCAATTTATTTTTATAACGTTGTTGAAACTTGAAATCCACATACGAAGCTTATTTATAGCCTACTGATATTCGAAATATATTTTTGACATTAATTATGTGTGGTTAACGAGTAGTAATTGCATTTACGGAAGTGTGTTAAATGTAAATGATGTTCTTACACGAATACTTTTGCCCATATTAGAATCGATCTTTTACATAAAAAAAGAACAAAAATACAGAAAAAAGAATCGATCTTTATATCTCAAAGTTATAATTAGATGCTTACCCCATTACCGAGAGTAGTATATATAACCTATTTGGTATTCTTTACCGTATCCAACGCAACGCAATTAATCAAAACTTGTTCACTACTTCAAGCCTCTTGTTCACTACCGTATCCAAGAAAATGGCTCAAGAAATGGCAATGGTATGAAATTATCTCTTTTATTATAGTTTTAATTACTATTTATATAAGGCAAAAGCTAATAAGCGCCCCCGAGACGTTAGATAAGAAAATTAAAAGTGGAAATATTAGAATAAAACTAACATTAATTAAACCGAACGACATGTGATTTTGTCAAACTTTCCTAACTTAATACTATTTTAACCAATATAATTATTCCTTATCTAACTCCCCAAAACGCTCAGTAGCAAGATCCTTTATATAATATGCTCATTATCAAGGCATATAATTCGATTCTTCATTTTTTTTTTTTTTTTTTTTTTTTTGGAAATAGAACCAAATTATTGAAAAATACGGACCATATGGTTCTCAATGTGCAACAAACTGGTCCGTGATGCTTGATGAATGTGACAGCATAAGGGAGGTCATAATAAGGCACGCAAACATTGTTGATGGAATCGGTTTCGTTATCATCGACGGAAGTGGGTGTAACACCACTAAAACTGTTGGTGGCCAAGGCGGCAAAACTTCCAAGGTATGTATTATCAACTATGTTAGTTCATGCTATCACATATTAATTCACATATATCATCAATCCTAACATTTTGGAAGCTCGGGGCAAAAACCAATTAATTATTTTCTGATCAAGTTTATAATTTGAAACATTTTGTATGTACGTAGATTGTACTGAGGCCTAATGAGTACATAACACAAATAAGCGGAACCCATGGAGAGCACAAAGGCAGTGGTTACGAGCGTCGTATCACCTCGTTGAGGATTCACACGAATTTATGTGCCGGAGGATATGGACCTTATGGACTAGCAAAGAACTGCCAGAATGTTTGTAGCTTCTCAACTCCACTTGCACTAAGTGATCCTATTGTTGGCTTTTTTGGAAGGCAAGGAAAGTTCTTGGATTCCATTGGTATTTACATGAAAAAACAGGTAACGTAAAGACATATATAATAATTGGTCATATGTTCGAGTACATTAGTGTATTTTGTAATTTGTATTGCCCTTATCGCTCTAATTCGTTGATCTCATGCTAGTGTTTGGAGCAATACTCACCATACTGAAGTCCATAAACTTTAGAGCTGGCCGCAATCAACTAGCAAAAGTGGAGCTTGTATCTGTGTTTATGATCGGTGTAACTTAATATTATGTTATAATTCTCTAATCTCTATTATATGAGTGTATTTCGTACCTACCAATAAGCCACTATGAGATCTGATCGAGTGGTTTAAGTATGATTTGTGTAATCATAAACTTAAGTAATCGCGTTCTTATTTATAATATGTTTGTCCTTTTTATATAAGTAATTGGTCTTTCCAATTGTGTGGCTTGGGGCTTCTAGTACTTATAAACCACTTGATATATGTTAGGTTTTTTTTTTTTTTTTTTTTTTAATGAAGAATTTATTGAAAAAAAACATTTTCAACTAAGTGTACAGTACAACAGAAGTATGAATAAGATGAATATATGTGTTGGGTTTATGGCCTTGTAGCCCGAATGGCTCCTTTTGTCATTTCGAAAGCTTAATTGCCTCTAGGCCCGGCTTGTAGCCCAGCCATACCTCTAGGTCTAAATGGGTTCCTGGCTTGAAATTCGGCCCAACTTGGCCATATGAATATGATTATATATGAATAATCAATAATCATATACTAAAAGACACACTAGTAATGACACATGTCGATTTCTGGTGTGTTCTTTGTATATTTTTTTTTAATAATTAATTACTAAATTTTATTTAAAAAAAAAAGTTTATTTTTGTCAACTATATAAGTGAATAATAATATTTACCATTTTTATGTTGATACTCAATTAATTATGGATTTACGGAATAATAAGGAAATATATAATTTTTTTTCAAGAAAATGTATTTTTGTTGGAATATTTCTTAAGAATATGATTTTGATCAAATGTTTCATGTTCTTCAATTTTGTTCAATATATTAAACAATTTTCTACATTTAACGCTATAAATAAATTAATTTGTCAAAAGTAATTAAAATAACATACCGTGAATGGCACGAGACCTAACCTAGTATGAGCTATAATACATTGTACTCTACCTAGACTTGTCAATCGGATCGTTTGGGTCGGGTTGCTCCGGGTCACGGGACATTTCGGGTCAGGTCACTTTAGGTCACTTTAGGTCACGGGTCGGGAAACGCTCAACCCTAACCCAAAGTTTGGGGTTCGGGTCAACCCAACAGCTTTAGAACCATTTTTTCATTTAATTTTTTTTGGCTAATTTTTAGAAATTTCTGATTTTTGAAGCTTATTTTTTTTTTATTAATTTTTTTTTCACTTTTTCAATCGAATATTTTCACAATATTATTTTTAGCCATTACATACTACTAATTTTAAACCGTCATCATTTCACCAAAGCATATCAATTCCTAACTAATAAAAATGATAATAAAATTAAAAATAAAGCTTTTAAACATCTCAAAATTTAAGGAAGAGACTAACATTATTATATATGTAGAGTATTAAGTATAATATCAGTAGACATATCAACCGATGCCATGACGGTGATGTGAGTTATGCGGATATTGTGTAGGTCAATAGTTGGTGTAGGAGGTGAATGGTGTGGACTTGAGCAAGAGTTATATGAGATAGATAAATGAAAAAGAGATTAAATGAATGTCCAATGGTAGACAAACGATCAAACTTAATCAACAAAGTAATATTAATTTTTAAATAAATGTATTTATTAAAAAAACCTATTAAATTGGGTCGACAAGTTGGGTTCGGGTTCGGATCGGTACGGGTTAAACGGATTTGGGTTACGGGTCAAAAAAAGTTAATCAAGATCCACAAAAACGGGTCGGATTTGGGTCGGGTCAAAAATTGACAGATTTAACTCCATCCTTTATTTTCATTTAAGTGCCTTACTTTGACCGGCGCATTTACCCTTTTCCCCTTTTGGAACATCCTTTTGCCCTACATACATTCTTGTTTTGTGTAACAAGAAGTGGAATCTAGTTAATTAGAGATACGAGATACTGTCTATAGATATTGGAAAATATATTAACAACCTAACATGTAACTTGTAGATCACGTAGAAAGTGATACCGTAGTCAATATCCATGAAAAGGTAAAATATACTCAGATTACTTACATGTGATTTGAATTGCAGGGATTGGCTAGTGAAGAACAACATCCCTTAATTAGTAATAGTGAGGAGAGCTCAACCGAAAGCAATGATTCTTCTAGCTAGAGAAGCGAAGAACCGACCGAGGAGGACTCAAATGAAGGGGGATCAGACAAGAGGGATTCAGATTCAAATGACTCGGACAATGAGATGTAAGCTAGGAAAAGTAGAACTCTAGCCTTTATGATATGGAATATGGGATGTACTAAGCAGTAGATTGATTTGCATTGTCCTTTCATTTTTCTATCTTGAGGATGGGTTGATTGGTTGAGGACCAGGATCAACACATATATGGATTGATGGTTGAGGCGGCCCAGGATCAAATTACATACTAAATTATTTTTCTTTTCTCTTGTTGTAAGTTTTTGGTGCGAAATGATCATTATATCCTTACTTTATTTTTTTAACAACCTTATTAAACTACAAATTTGATATCATTAAATTAAACCCCAAGCTTAATTAATTTCACCCTCATCCCCATTATTTTTCTTTCTCCTCCTCTAACCCCATTCTCATGGTGGGTTCGTGGGTTCGGCGATGGTAGGTTTTAGATCGTGGGTTCGTCGGTGGTTTCAGATAGTGGGTGGTAGGTTGGTGGGTTCACATCGGTGGGTATAGATCGATGGGTGCGTGGTTGGTAGGTTCAGATCGGTGGATTCGTGGTTGGTTTGTGGGTTTGTGGTTGGTGGTCGGTGGCTTGTGGGTGGTTTATTCTAGAATTGTGGGTTAGCGGGGGTTGGTGAGTTCAGTGGGTTTGGTGGGATTCTGCGGCTCGTGGGTTCGTGGTTTTGATCGGTTGTTGCCAGGGGCGAAGCCAGGAATTTAGGAGCCGGTGGCCGATTTTTATATAGATTTTTTCTTAAGAAAAAAATGCAATTATTAGATATTTATAAATACCATTGTCAAAACTTGATCATTCCACATGTATATAAGTTTTTTTTTTATAAAAAAAAATCTTATCGAAAAATGTAATTATAATGAAAAAGGTAGTTGGAAAAAAGGGAAGAACTGGCTTTGAGAAATAGAAGAGACCACTACGAAATATACATTTAAAATTATATAAATTGGAAAGAAGGGGAAAAACTAACTTTGAAATTAGAGAGAAGGCAAAAAAGCCTAAAAAACTATAAATTGTAACAAGGATTGATCCTGCGACCTTCACCTCATGCCAACAAGCATTGTCATATCCTCCTGAAACCAACTAGGCAACCCAACTTCATTGTTATTTATGTTAACATTTATATATATTCATAAAACTTATGGGTGCCAACAATATAAAAAATTGGGCTGCCATGATGGGCCGGGGAGGCCGGGCCTCCACCAGCCCCCCGTACCTCCGCCCTTGGTTCCTACGGCTCGTGGGTTTGGTGGGTTCGGTGGGTTGTTGCGGCTTGTGGGTTTGGTGGGTTGCTACACCTTGTGGGTTCGTGGGTACTGGGGCCAATAGGGTTCGGTTCAGTGTTGCGGCTGGGTGGTGGTGGATTCGGTGTTTTGTGGTGTTGGGTGGTGGCGCAGGGTGGTTTCGGTGCTGCTGGGTGGTGGTGGTGGGTGGTTTCGGTGTTGTTGGGTGGTGGTAGTGGGTGGTTTCGGTGTTGCTGGGTGGTGTTAGTGGTGGTGGGTTATTTTGTATAAGATTTTTTGCCTAAAAGTCCACAAAACCACTCTTTATTGCGAGTAAAAAGTCCGCAAAGCTACACTTTATTGCGAGTAATAAGATCGGAGGTAGTATATCAATTTCATGTACACAGCTTTAGTTGAATTAATTAGGTTGGCAATAATTTATGTGGACTAGGCCGACGACTAGCATACATAGTTCTTTTTTATTTTTTATGTCATATAGTTGCTTTTCATTTGTTGTTGAAAGCTACTGTAGAAATGAACATCAATTGTGAATCATTGTAGGACCAAATGTGGAAGAGAATTGGACTTGATTCAAGGATTAAAACGACATATTTTCGAACTAAGACGACAAATTTGTTGGATGTGTAAAATTCTTTGTTTGTGGTAGCTGCCTTATTAGCCACCATTACATTCACTGTTGGATTCACTCTTTCTATTGGATTTACTCAAGATACCGGGGAAGCAATTTTGGCAAAGAAAGCAGCTTTTTGGTGTTTTTGGTATCTAATACACTAGCCCTATCTTTTTCAATGTTGGTGTTAATTTGTCTCATATGGTCCATGGTCTTTGATTTTAGTAAATCATTGTTCTTGATTAATCGAAGTATGTTGTTTCTCCGTTTAGCACTAAATTTCACATTATTGACACTTATGACGGGAGTCTATATTGTCATAGCCCCAAAGTCATTATGGGAAGCTATTCTCATCATTGTCTTTGTGAGCTTTCTCATTGGAATATCTATCAACAAGGATCTCTTGTACAATGCTCTAGAGTATCTTGACAAGTTTCCTTCTCTGAGTAAGAAGTGCATAGATCGACTTCGTGTGATGGAATTGGTAAGCTTTTTATTTGTTAAATAACTTATACTTTGTATTAATTATTTCTTCTATCTTTGAAATTACGGCTATTTCACCAAATGCCACTGAGCAATTGCGAAATTCACCAAATCCCATCCAACTTTTCAAAATTCACCAAATGCCACTGACAAATAGCATATTAACACCCCGTGCCATTAATGATGTCTGGACGTTAGATGGCCGTTAATGCAAAAATACCAGTTTACCCTTTGAAGTGTTAAGCACATTGACTCTCTGACTTCTCAATTTTCAAGTGTTAATGTTCTTCATGAGCCTGGTTCTTCCTTAACTTCTCCCATGTTCTTCTAATTTTCACCATCATTGAAACCTTCAAATCTGTGGGCAAGGAAGAAGCGTACTGTGACCACTGAACAACGAACCTCGCAACAAGTTTCAAGCTTTTAGTTTTGTTGATTCTGGGCGAACCAAAAAGCGCTCACAAGTAGTAGGAAAAGTATGTTGAAGGAAGTCGCGAGTGCAAAATATTTTTTTGAGGTCTTGGAAATAGCAAGCAAGGTAATAATCTTTCCATCGATCTTCATTTCATGTATTGATTCTATTATAATTTTTTTGCGAAAATTGAGTTAGGGTTAGGGTTTTCTCGAAATGATCAGTGCAATGTGTTTATTTGAATTGACCTTTGTGAATTATTGTTAAAAATCATGTTCAAAATCTCAATTGTG